AGCGAGGAAGCCGCGCCACTTCATCCCGCGTTCTCACCGCCAACAAGTCATGGAAGTCCACGTCGGGCTGGGCAGAGTCTACGCCCGGCCGCCGGGCAAAACTTTCCGCGGCGCTTTCCAGAGCCTTTTCCAGAGCGTCCGCGAGGCTTTTCAGAGTCCCGGGCCCGGCGGAGCGCGAGAGGAGCTCGGACCCGGCGGCCAAAGCGCGGGCTCTCCGTCGGCCGGCCCGTGTCCGCCGGGCGCCCGCCTGCAGGAGCCCAGCCCACGGCAGCACCAGCCGCCCGCCTCCCCTTCTTACCTGCCGCTGGATGAGCCCGCGGCGGGCAGCAAAGGGCTTCAGCCGGCCGACCGCGAGACCCATCCGGCGGCCGCCGCCTCTTCCTCCTCGGCCGCCTCCTCGTCGCTGGCCTTGCTGGCCCCTTCGTTCCAGAGCTGCTCCGGGGACCTGAAGGACCTCTTGGCCGGGAGCAGCCTCCTGCCGGCGACCGAAGGGGAGCCGCGCGGCGGGGCGGCGAGCGGCGGCGGCGAAGCCAGCGAGGCCAAGGAAGACTACTTGGGCGAGAGCGCCAAGGAGCTGTGCAAAGCCGTCTCGGCCTCCATGGGCCTGGCGGTGGAAGTGCTCGAAGGGCCCGGCGGCGGGGGAGAAGCGGCCACGAGCCGTGGCGACTGTATGTTCGCGCTGCCGGGCTCGCAAGCCCGTCCCGTGGCCGTGGGGGGCTGCAAGATCGTCGAAGCCGAGCAGGAAGGCGGCGGTGGCGGCGGCGAGGGCGAGGGTGCGCTGGCCATGGACGTGCCGGGCCACCTCAGCCTCTTCAAGAGCTCGCCGGAGCTGGACGAGCCGCCGGCGGGCGCCTTCCAGAGCCGCGACTTCTACAACTTCCAGCTGGCGCTCGCCTCGCACGGCCGCATCAAGCTGGAGAGCCCGCTGGAGTACGCGGCGGGCGGCCTCTGGGGCGCGCAGTACCGGCGCGCCGGGGAGATACCCGCCTTGGCGCCCCACTACGCCGCCCCTCCGGGCCCGGCCTGGCACCCCTTCTTCGCCGAGGATGCGCAAGTCTACGGCCCCTGCGCCTCGACCGAGGCCGCCGCCGCCGCCGCCCCCTTCGGCTACGGCAGGGGCCAAGGGCCGAGCGGCCAAGAAGGAGCCGAGCTACCCTCCGAGATGTGGTACCCCGGAGGCGTGATGGGCAGGATGCCCTTCGCTCCGGCCACCGGCTGCATCAAGACGGAGCTCGGGCCTTGGATGGAGGGTTACGCGGGCGCCTACGGAGACGTCAGGTAAGGAGAGCCGCGAGATGTGGGGGAGAGCGGCCCCGGGAAGCCTCTCAGCGCGGTTGGCGTGTCGCTTTTCCGGGGGGGACGATGACACCGGGGAAGCCCCCCCCCCGTCCCACCTGGCCTTTTCTTCAAAGGCATCTCAGAACTGGGCGATTAGAGGAAGGGGGTGTTGGGGCCGGGTGGGGCAGGAATCCACCTGCACCTCTGCTTGCCTGGACCAGATTTCCTCAAAGGGTCTGGCTAACTGTGTGTGTGGGGGGGGCTTCACCTACTCGACGGAGGAAAATTAGGAAGTGCATTTCCAGATAAAGGAAGCCAGGAAGCCCCTTCTGTGAAATGAAGCTGCAGTCCGGTGGATCGGTCCCTAGATATATATATAGAAGAGCAGATTCCAGGCCCCTGGTGATTATCTAGACTCTGGAGAGCTTCGAAACTCCCCTCCCCCTTTATTTTGTGTTCATGGACGTTTTTGCAATAGCCCACAACAGATGTTAAGTGATATAAATCTGTGTGCATAATATACATTTTATAACTTGAAATCAGGAAGCATAAATTGTACATGTGTACACATTTTTTAAAAAGCATGCTTGGTAAAACAAATGCAAACCACTTTTTTTCCCCTGACAAAATTAATTATTGATATGTTTTCTCCTTTAAAAGGATTAAATCTACTGGGTTAAATACATACATAGATACATTACATAGGTTTATGTTATTAAAAAGACGAGCCATGTATGTGTGCGGGACCCAAGAAAACACCAGTTACTCCAATCTGATAGCTCAGACGCATGGACTTTACCTACAGGTTACTTGCTAGAGTATCTTAATCTTAAAATTTTTTATAGACTATTAACGTTAGTCTTCTTTCAATATTTTTTGTCATTTATTTTAATCACAAATTACTCTTTCTGTTGGCAATAGGTTGTCTTTTCCATTAGTACATTTTAAAATACTGGCTCCTGCTTTTAACTAAGTCTACAACATGATTTTGGTTATCGTGGGCAAAAGGTTTAGCTAGCCACCCTTCCTGGCACCTGCAGTAAGATTCTCCTTGGCAAGGCCATATGTAACATATGGAAGCCAGGATAGATCCCTTCCTAGGATCCCACATAAGGAGGTGGATCGCTCTCCAACGGATCATTTTGTTCAGGCAGGGCAGCTTTTCACAAGGGCTTAATTTTATACTATTAATTATTACTAACAATAAAAAGAATGAAACATTCTTACCTAACATTTGATTGGTCGATTTGCACAATGTGTTTAGATATCTCAATTTTTCTTTCAGTGATCCAGCCGTATATAATACATTGATTTGGTTTACTTTGTTTTGAATAAACTTGGTTGGACTCATATATTCTATTAGGCCAGTTGACGTGAGGTTCCAGGGACAGAGTTAGCACTATACCACGGGCAGAATCATCCCAAAGGGATTATATCAGAAGAAATCCCATCGGTTTCATTTATTCCTGGTAAATATGAATCCTTGAGATTGTGATTTAAAGCTACTTAAAGCGGTGTGGTTTTAGCTACAGCATATAAGTATCATTCTTTAATTTAATCATCTTTTGGATTCAGAAGCTGAGAGTAAGCAGATCACACACTCACACATACAATATCTCAAGAAAAGTCAGAAGGGAAAAAGAAGAAAGATAAATTAAAATCCAAATGGTTCCCAGTCCTGAAGAAAAAACTGCAGTGTAGAGGGGTCTTCACATTGCATAATGGTATAGTTGTGATAATGTACAATATTTATTCAGTGATTTCACCAAAATCCTGTGGGATAATTCTAGCTAAGCTGGTGCAGAGAGTGGACATCCCAGCTCCCTGTGACCAACTTTGTGTTCCATTTAGGCAAAATGAACTTGAAGATAACAATTTCCATGGTAGCAAGCCAGTTAAATGTCCTACCGTACAGGTAAAATTAGCAGCCCGTTGATGTGCATTTATGTGTACATTGGTGAGCCCAGATTCTTCTCAATTTCAACATTTGGAGCGTCCATTGTTTTCTTCTGGTCCCTTTAACTATTTCTCGGACCCTAGGAAGAAAAGCCTGGATCCCATCTTGTGGTTCATGCTTTACTTCGAAGTCTTCTTGATCTAACTCTTCCTTTCCTAGTTGGGGCTTACTCTCTGCTGTTACATTACAGTGTTGCTAAGAATTGCAAAGCGTATTTGTTGAAAGCAAGCAAAATTCTACTGAAAGTATCTTCAACAGTGTGTTGTGTCTGGAAATTAGACATTAGAATTTGCTAAACCATAAGAATTGCATCACAACCTAAATTTCTGGTTAATGTACATTAAGACAACTGTTGATCAGTTAACGTGTATGTCTATTGCAGAAGTCAGTCCTGCTTCATTTCCGTAACATGAAAATTGTGGAATCTGAGCTAAAATAAAACAGCTATCGGGTGCTTCTTTTTATGGAAGAAGAAGTTTTGAATGTCTAAAGCACTAAAATTGCCCGTATGATATAATGCACAAATATTTCCCATTCAGATTCACAATGCCGATATATAAAATAATCTTATAGCCCTAGGGACCAGACATTTAGAAATTTGATAGGCTAGTACCGAAAAAAGATTTCAGGCTGCCCATTTGGGATTATAATAAAAAAGGTATGTTGTGAGTGCTTTAAGTAGCCTTTCCCTTCTTAGCCTTTTTTCTTGGGCCTAATCCAATTCTCTATGGAATCTAATGGAAAGTTCCCCATTGACGTCAATGGACCTGGATTGACTCTTTACGTTTATGACTGTAGGTCCTGTTGAAATGTTATAGTATGGTGATCCAAAGTTATTTATGATGCGGTTCTAGCTAGAGGCCCCTTTGCCTTTTGTTGGAATGGAACAGCAGATCCTGCTGGTGCGTTCAGTTGCCTTTGGTGCAGCGAATCCATAACTGTGATTTATAGCAAAACTGTTTTTCCCCCCACTGCAATTGGACTACAACTGTTTGTTAGCAGATGGCATCCTTACTAGAACAGAAATACTAGTTATGATGTGTCCAGGAGGAGTTCTCTAACAACAGGTTGGCAGCCGTGGTTGTGGTGTGAGATATCTGCATAAAATGCAGATAGAGTTTAGGTTTAAGGAAATCAATCTGAAAAAAAGTGAACACTTCACATCTGGATCATGCCTCATGTGTGCCACGTGTATTTTGCCACAAGACAGAAAATTGGGAACAGGGTTATTTCTTGCTTGGTGATCAAACGGAATCTCCATGTAAGATTTTCCTTCTTAGAGGCTTGCTGGGCAAACTAGGGGCTTAAGTAATCCTTTTCCATACCCAAATGTGTGCTTCTGCACCCCTTCATTTCATCGGGAATGGTTAAGCATTTTGCATTAAATCCTGCACCTTAAAAGTGATCAATTCTGGCAGCGCTGATGTGATAGTTAACACTGTATTGTACAACCAAAAGCTGAAGAGTTCAAGAGAAGGCACTTGAAAGGCTTAATTTGTTCATTATACTGGCGGAAGTTTGCTTATTTATTTATTTTACTTCTTTTCATAACTCCCGTCTGAGATTGGTGAGGTTCATCTTAGGTGATTCCTTGGGGTAATTTGTCCATATTTAAAACTGGAGGTCTCTCTGGCCGCCCTTTTGCCCGCAACGTCTGTCGGCTAAATTCATTTAGGCTGCAGCCTTAAGCGCCGTGACTGGCAAGTGAATGGAGCCTGTAAGGTTCTTGCTGAGGAACACAGAGTAACACTGAAGTGACCATTTTACAGCATCCTATGAGTCAAGCTTATAACTCTTACTGGTATTTCCCCCTATATTTTTCCTCCTTCTGACTTCCACTCCAAAGGTAATGAGAACATATGCTGTAGACATTATGAGGTTACAGACACAAAAGGGGAGTGTTTAAGGAGCTTTGATCTTGTAATGTATAAATTTGAGAGCAAATGCTTATAAGGGTAGATTCGTTTTTAGATTATTCCCCTCTCCTCGATGTATTCTTCCTACATTACTCCTTATAGGAAGAAATAGTGCACAATAAATTATGAGTGCTGAGATTTATTCGTACTGTACATGTAACAGCCTCTCATCTAACAACGTAATGAGATTGTAGATCCTTGGGCTCATTCTCCTCTCTCCCCAGATTCTCAGTCAAATGACAAGGTTCAACAGCAGTATTTTCTGTTGCTGAAATACAGTTCCATAAAAAATAATTAGCCAAATATATTGCCTGCTTTGCACATTCAACAGCAGGAGAAATTGCTGGTATTCCCTGCATATTCATAATCCAGGTGCGGGTTTCCTTGTCAGTGAAGTTACTTGGCCTCCTGTTCTTGGAATTCCTTTGATTTTTCTTTTGAAGGTCTTAAACTTTGCTTCACCCAGATGAGCCAATCCGCTGAGATTCAGGCACTGATTCCATCCTTTCCTCTGTGTTGCTGACCAGATGTGAGACTCGGTGGCAGGCGCAGTTCTCCCCTCCATCCCAGGCATTCTGTGATGTACAACTGGGGTTGAAAGTTAAGCCAAAATATTCTTTCCCCTCTTTTTCCTATATTATATTAATGTAGGTTCCGAGCAATGCTAAATGGGTAGGCCTAATGCCGATGAATTGGAAATATTTCAGTCCAGCCCTGCACAATTTGAAGAATGCTACCGGCCAAGTTAACAGCAGCTTCCATTCCCTTCCTTCTCTTCCCAATGGAGCCACTTCTCCATTCCCCTCTACCTTATGAAAACAGAGCCACATTGCGGTGGCTTTTTCACCTGTCCCTTTAACTCCTTTAGGTGTCTGTTGTTTGGTTCCTTCTTTTAATTGGCCAAATGAAAACTGGATCCCCAAATCTACTTTTGCAAACATTGCTTTCTCTGTCTTGCTTAGTCATGAAAGCAACTCAGGTGTCTGCTGAACTTCATGGCAGACCAAGGTCTCTTTACTGAATTGATCCAAAGGGAAGAAGGCAGGTATATCTGTGGAGAGCAGGACAGTTGTGCTGGCTGGCTTCCAACTATCCCCCCTGTTTCCACTTGAAGGTGCTGGGCAGAGAGGG